TTCACAAGGAGGGAAGGCCAGGGTGAGAGAGGGGAAGTGAAGATCATGTGGGGTGAGGGGCTAGTTGCACATTAACATTCACACAGCATGCTGCTGAGCTGGCCTTCACCACAGGAGCACCTGCTTTCAGCCCTTAGGGAGTGATCTGAAGGCCTGGGATGGCAGTTTGTAGTTCTGTAGAGACACAAGTCTGACTCATGTCTCCCTTGACTCTAGTGTGTGCAAAGAACCAATTAGGGAGTGATTCTGGCTGGAACAATCAGCATTGTCATCATAGCACAGCTTTGTTGGGCTTAACTTGTGCCTTAAGGAGAAACTGCAAAGGGACAAATCCTTTGTAAAAATCCTAATGTAAAAATTCTGAAAAGATTGCCAAGGGCCATTGCTGGTAGCAAAATTGAGACTAAGAAAATGATTATTCTTAATTTAAAATAGCTATTTTATATTTAAAAAGAAGGGAAGGTTGAATTTGGCAATTGTTTGGTACAACAGTATTAGAGGTAATATTATTGTGTTATAATATACAATACTAGAGTTCCGGTGCATGAAATTTGTGTACTGGAGGTGGAGGGTCCCTCAGCCTGGCCTGCATCCTCTTGCAGTCCAGGACCCCTCAGGGGATGTCTGCCTGCTGGCTTAGGCCCGTTCCCCCTGAGGCCTAAGCAGACATTTGGAAATCCTTCTTGCAGTCTAGGACCCCTCGCTCCTTACCGCCCACCTACTCGCCACTGCTCCTTACCACTCGGCTTGCTGCTTCTTAGCACTGCCATGGAGGCAGGAGAGGTTCCTGTCACCGCCACTGTGCTCACCAGCCATGAGCCCTATCTTTCTGTGTAGTTGTCTGTGGGCCAACCACTCTCTTCCTTCTCATTTAGGGCGAGAAGCATGTGAAGGCAGAGTGCACTGTCGTGGAACGCAGAGGGCTGCCAGGAACTGAGGGGAGTATCTGGGCCCACGGGGTGAGAGGTGGACACAGAGGATGCTATATCACCCAATTGTGGGGTGGGCTGGCTGGCCTTCATCTGCCTGAACCCACCCAGGGAGGGGCTG